ATAGAATGGTGGTTGTTATAAATCTTACATAACTCTGGACATCAAGTTATATGTGAGTGATGACTGAAGACGGTTAAGTAGTATATATCCAACTTATAATGAAAACAACAACTACAACAAAAAACCTTATCTGTTCTCTACTAGCAGTAATGCTAGTAATAAGGCCACTCCAATATGCCCAGTAACTCTAAAGTATTCAGACTCAAGCTTGTTGGAATATATTGATATAATTAGGGTCTTTCCATATTGGTAGAATAATAGATTGTGGCAATGCTTCATTTAATTTACCTAGGCCCAAGATATAGACACTCTCAGCTTATTAGAGATCTCTCCCTCCTGCTGACTCAACTCATACTTCATAACCTCATTCTGGCTTTTCTTTTCTTAGGGCTACACATTCTTTATTCCTCTTTTACTATTTCAATCAAGACTCTGAAATATCTTTATTCACATATCTTAATTTGGAGTATGAAATGTTTTTCTTGCCCTTTCTTTTTCTCTTTGCATAAAAACCCAATTGATTCCAGAGGTTAACAGCTTGACGTGGTTGCTACTTTCTCACATGATCCTGATCAACAGGCTGAGAAAAATGGGAATGCTCTTGTTAAGAGTCCGAGATTTCTAGTCTATCAGACCTCCATGAAAAATCTTATTTGTTTCTAAGCATTCTAGGTATCCACTTTAGTATCAGCTTTTTATCTTATAACCTTTCAATTTGCCAAAGGCCCCTTATGCTATACGGTAAGTTCTCAAAATGAATCTCCTCATCCTACCTTACATAAATAATCATGAATTATGAGAAACTACAAGGTTAGAGTTTAAAGTTATATGGTGTATTTATATGAATGTAAATAAATGGTAAAAATACACAATTACCACATACTGAGAAGCGGTATGTGGTAATGGAAAAAAAACAAATTTAAAATATACACAATTATCACATACTGAGACACAGTATGTGGTAACGGTGTAATGCAAGCTGATTAAGATCTAACACTGATTAAAAAAAAAAAACAACAACTGCTCTGTCCACCTCAACACATCTCTTATTTGCTATATGTAAAAACTGCCATGTTAACAAAAATATTCCCTAAGAAGTTCCTTTTTTCAAATCAAATCTTTTATTTTACCTCCCCAAAAGCCAGCTCTTATCTCTGTGTAATTTTACAATGAACATTAATTACAACACCTTAGTAAGTGGGAAGGCTGCCTCTAAGATGGCCCCCAATGATTTCCACCTCCTGGTTTTACATCCTGTATTAGTACCTTCCCACAATGTACTAGGGCAAAAGAGATGGACTATCTCTTCTAAGACTGAGTTATAAAAGACTGTGGCTTCTAGCTTAGATTCTGTCTCCATCACTTGCTCTGGAGGAAGTCAGCTGCCATGCTCGAGAACACTTAGGCAGCCCTGTGAAGAGGCCTATATGGCAAGGAATCGAGACTTCCAGCCAATAGCCATGTACGTGAGTCTCCCTGATAATGGATCCTCCAGCCCCAGTCAAAATTTTAGATGATGCAGCCCGAGTTGAAAGCTTGACTATAACTTCATGAGAGACCCTGAGTCAGAACAGGATGTACTACGGCAAAAGAGATGGACTATCTCTTCTAAGACTGAGTTATAAAAGACTGTGGCTTTTATAACTCACTAAGCTGCTCTAGGATTCCTGATCCTCAGAAACTGTGAGACTACATGTTTGTTTCAAGCCACTATGTTTTGGGGTAATTTGTTATACAGCAATGTATAACTAATACAATGAGCCATGCCATTGGTCATCCATCTAAAACCAAACTGCCATTCAGTCATCCCTCCGTATCCACAGGTTCCACATCCAGAGATTGGACCAGATCAAAAACATTTGAAAAAAATGTTATGTTGTTGATGGCAAGTGCTATGTAGTTAGACATAGGATGTCTGCATCTGTAACAAGCATATACAGACATTTTTTTCTTGTCATTCTCTAAACAATACGTATTATAACTATTTATATATCATTTACATTGTATTAGGTATTATAAATAACAGAGACAATTTAAACTATACAGGAGAATGTGTGTAGGTTATATGCAAATATTGTACCATTTTATACAGGGGACGAGTATCTGACGATTTCCTTGCAACTGCAGGGGTCCTAGAACCAATCCACCCTCCCCTCCCCTGCAAATATCAAGAGATGACTGTATTTTAAAAGGTTATAAAAATGATTATAAGTAGAAATAGTCATTGCAAGAATTGGGAAATAAATTTATTTTAAAAATCTTAGCTAAAATTGAAAACCAACTGTAATAATGTCAGCTTGCCAGTCCTATGTGTAAAAACAACAAACCAATAATGTATTACCAAGAGAATATGGACTGCTTCTGGAAAGAGACCAGGTTGAGCAGGTAAGTTGATAATGCAACATCAACTTTTTTTAAAATTGGGGAGGAAATCAATTTGTAATTTAAAAATCACAATATCTTATGCAGCTATGATAAGAAATCCCACAAAGTCTGCCTTATCTATTATAAATTGATTCTAAAGCTTTATCTTGTCAGACTCTATCACATGCCTACTGATAAACACATAAGAACGATAAGGGCAAAAGTTCCAAATTTCAGTAGTAGATTCCTGTCCTATCAAAGCATAGATGATTTTTTTTTCCTGTAATGTTTCCACACCAAACCCAAAACACTTCATTAAATCATACAAGCATCCTTTCCAAGAACACATAAGATTTCTTATAAGAAAAAGCACTTTTAACAGAATTTATTTCATTATAAAGTACACCAAGTATACACACATTTAGTATATGAGTTGGGTATTTAAAAACACTCAAAAAGCAACAATAAAAGAAAAACAGGAATTTTTCATTTGGGAAAAGTTGATTCTAGCAACGAATGAGCTGTATGCATTCAAAACATAATAAAATCCTCTTTACCTTTAATGATTAATGCATAAGATCATTTATTAGTGATGATTCCAGTTATCTTCATAGTAACTATAAAGCAGTAGTATCAATAAGCATCATTCGACTCAAAAGACAATAATTTAGACATCAACACTGGTAAAAATAGTTGATTTATACTTCGAAGTTCTTTAACATATAAATAGGAAATAAGCATTTGACCACCACAATGTTTCCTATATCCTTGGCTGTTTATCTTGAACAAAGACAAATTACTAACTTCTCTTTCATATAGCTTACATACTTATTAAGTATAATTGATGCTAACTGATTTCCATTGACTGAAGTTTACAGGTCCTTTCCAGAAAACTTAAAACCATGTTAAATTTTAAATATCTTCATTGGAAACTATAGCATCCCTACTGCAATACTGCTGACATGTGCTAAAACAATAACTTATGAGGCAAAATTTATCCAGTTGTATTGCAGGATATGCTTTTAAAGAACTGTCATAAAATCATATTAAAGGGGCCTCCAATCTTGTAAAAAATGCTAATGAAGAATTACCAAGAAATTACTTAGAAAAGGTCAAATGTGAGTTCAAATAGTCTTGCCCATGGAGAAAGATTACTAAAATGAATGCTTCAGCGCATGAGTATCCATATCGTTTTTCAAGAAGTTCATTTTCAGAACTGAATATTTTAAAACCGCCCACTGCGTATACACATAGCTTACAAATATGCTAGTATTCAGTTAGGACTTTATATAACATGATTACACATTTAATAAGTGAATTGATTGAGATATTGCAGTTTCCTGTAAAGGCATTGTGTGTACACAATGTTTTGAATCATCAAATACTATAAATTGGTCCACAATTCCCCGAACCGAGAGAAAAAAGCAGTGAAAAGGCACAACTCACACAAAGTTTCAGAAGTACTATAGATAAGTCAAGCTTACGTGAGGCAGATAAGTCTTTCCTCCATTCCTGTACATAGGCCAAAGAAACACCTTCGAGTGTCCCTAGCAAATCAAGTGCCATATTCCAAATCGATGTGCTCTAAAGGTAAGTAATCTATGGAATGTTTACGTACCTATCAACTTGGGGCGGGGGGCAGTAAACATCTTTCAATCACATCAGAATGTAATATAAAATAGTAGCAATGTATTTTGCCTGTTATCATATTTAAATGACAAAAATATTTTAACACTGAATGATTTCATCTTTTGTTCCTTTCATCCTTCCGATTTTCTGAAATTTTAGCTTTTTCAGCTGTACTTAAATTCTGACCTACCAGCATTCTGCGCTGGTTTTAAAAATATCCCATTTTAACATGTTAGCTTAAAAATAGCTTTGCTTTCTCCGTTTCCATTTACTTTGAGCATAAGTCTGCTTTTCCTTGTGGAACCACAGATTCCCAGAAAAATACCTTCTTATTTACTTCATTCTTTCAACCTCTGGGGAAACAACAAAAACTATAAAGTTTAAGTAGCACAGCACCGAACCTACATGGGCTTGCAAGTACGTTATCTGCAGTTGCTGGTTTGATCTATTCTTTCCATTCTCTAAAAATGCTTCCTTCGGCTGCTCAAATTAATACACCTAGATGTGCGTGCAAACAAACAGCTGAGAGCATCTCTGCCTTCTGAAGCAACATCCCTTCTTTTGGACATGCATACATCTTCGCTTCACAACCATTCAAGAAAGTTTCTTCCTGCCTCTCGGGTTTGTAGCACTTTAGGAGGAGGCACGGCATGCCACCTGCACGGCAGCACCGTCACAAGAAAGCAGCAAGGGCTCAGAGGGACAGGAGGGCTGGGGAAGGTTGGCACAAAGCAAATCAAAACAAAATCCACAGTATCGGCTGGCCATTTGGGCTGAAGCTCAGGCTTCTCTGAGCCTGGGGAGGAACCGGCCGAGCGTTGGACCTGGCTAGTCTGGCACCATCGGCGCCTGTCCTACCTGCCCCGGGGACACTCAGGAAGCGGAAAGTTGCCCCCCTCGGACGTCCCAGGCTTGGG